TAGATGTTCAAAGAAAAGGAAGTCAAGAGAAGTAGCTGAGCTGAGTAAGGCTGTTGGATTGAAAACATCTCTTAAACTTACATTGCCTTTTACGAAACACGGAAGTTCCTAGACTGCAGAGGAAAATTGATGGAATACTTGTTATACCTGTGTTTCATGAACATGAGCTTTTGTACTAGAACCAAGAGTGAAGGAAGGAAACCCTCGCCTTGTGTCTTCTACCTTGCCTCGTATGTCGTAGGCCTGCCGTGTCATGCCATGAAGAGGCCTTAGAGGAACGTAAGTGTAAAGCAAGATTTCCCAGAGCAGATACAGCCAGAGTTTCAAGATGCAGGACCCAGACATTAGGCTTGGGTGATGTGGCGTCCTTAAAAACAGAATTCTCACCTTAAATAAATTTTTGTTTGTTTTTTTAAGCCCACAATACTATGCTTTTCTGACATTTCAGTTGCTAGAGCTATTGAGGCCACCACAAGCCTCAACATTTTTATGATAACAAAACAAGCAGGAAGTGGGCAACTGAATTCACCTACCTGTATCCTTATCTCATTTATATCCTTAACACTGTTCATTAACTGCTTTCATGGTAAACCAAAATAAAAGCCTTGAGCCAGGTCCAACTTGTGAGTTTCACCTGTCCTCAAACTAAAAGTCAACCTTTGTGTTCCAGCCCAAGATATAGAGAAATAGATAAATATAGAGAGACATTCTTAATTTCAGACCAGTGGATGAAGTAAATATCGTATATTGTGTTAATAAACTACCAGTTAGACTTCTTGCTCTATAGAAATTCTCAGCTCTCCATCATGAAGATACTGCACCATCATAGTTGCTTTTCCTGCTTCCGCTGTCAGTTTTCCCAGCAAACTTACTGGAAAAAGAGTGTGCTGTCAGACTCAGCGTCTCAAATTGCTTTCTCCGCACTCAGTCCTCAGCTTGAAGCTCCTTTTTCGCTAAGGTCACTGGTGGCTGCTAAATCATACAACCACCCTGAGTGGCTGACAGTCTCTGCCTGCCTTCCACAGCAACACTTCTTATCCTACTCATTACTACTTCTACTAGGTAAATTATAAAGTGGTGTTTCATTTCCAGGCCCTAGCAGCACTGTCAGTCTGATTTCCCAGCCTGCCTCCTTCTGTCCCACCATGCATATACCCTCCACTTGATGAATAACAGTTCAGTGCTTTCTCGGCAATCCCCGACTTCCAGTTTTACTCACTGATGACTCTTCTGCCTAGAATACTTTTATTCCACATCCATCCTTCCTAGCAAATTCCTATTAATACCAGCTTAAATGTCAACTTTCTCAGGCAGATATAGTTGCTCTTCCTAGTGTTCCCTCTGTGTCATTTTGAGTACCTCAAACTTCAAATTTATTCAGGAAGGTACCTTATTCATCATTATATCCCCAGCCCTTAGCATCACGCCCTGTATATAGATATATGTATATGTGGTGCTTGATGAGAAAAAATAAGTGAATCTACTAGCCAAAAAGAAAATAAAACCAGAAATTTAGGATTCCAAAATACATCATGTTACATTCTTTTGTTTTCAGAAGAGAAAACAAACCTTTATGTTTGCCTTTTTAAAAAATTTTTTTTC